TAGGCTATAAGTATTCACCGATTTAAAAAAGTGCAAGAATAATGATGAAATAAACATAGCAGGTACTGTATGCAACCACCTGTTGAGTTTGTTAGAATCAGTGATGACTGAAAAATCCAACAACGGCTGGGAAGAAGAGACTTTGTGCTTGCGCTACTTTGAGCTTTGATTGTGCAGATAAAGATAAAGGGTGACTTGTTCTTGTTTGATTCAGCTGAGGCACTTTGGTTTGTAGTAAAATGTTTTTAATATGACTTTGACATTTTTGAATGCTTTTTTTCTTAGAAAAAATTGGAAATGGCACTTTGACTTTTTAGAGATGTGAAAAAGCAAAGGCGTCATTGCTGTTTACACCATCATATGTTTGTTGACCAGTGTCACACCTGACATGGCTTCCTTTATTATAACATATAGTAAAACAAACAGTGTGAACATATATGTGTGTGTACAGCTGTTTTTTGGCAGATTGACATAGCATAATAAGCTCATCCTGTTTTACAGCAGAGCAGCTGACTGGTTAGGCTGTAAGGTGTTTATAGTGTTTGCCAGATGGACCACAGGCTTTTGCCTGTGCCTTTAAATGAGATGAAGCAGACAGTGATCAGAGTCCTAAAGCTGCATGGGGAATTGTGGGGTATTCTTTTTTGTAAGGCTGAGTACCAGTGATCCAGTATGTTTTTGTCTCTGATGGGACACTGCATGCTGTTTATATGTTGGCAGTACATCATCTAAATACCCCCTTTGAAGCTAATCTGCCCATTCCCCTGTGACCTAAGACTTAAATAGGGCTTTTTTTTTATCAAAAGATTGTACTATCCTGCATAATTTCTCTTTTTGAAGCATTCTTTGTAAAACATTTATTGCAAATCTATTTTTAAAATCCATTTATCCCTGGATAAATCCCTTTATTCATGGACTTGCAGCTCTGCAACACCAAACCATCCTTCATTAGGTTTGCCGACTTAATTAGAAACATACTGAACTTTTTTAAACACCTGCGTTTAAATACCTGCTTTACATTTGCATAGCTTCGGGTTTATGACTCTTTTGCCACTCTTTCAGTTTAAAAAAAACATCTTATGAAGCAATGTTGTTAGTGGGTTATGTCAGCTTATTTTATTTTATATGTAGAAGGAGACTGAATTGTATTTCAGCAAATATATTATATTAAATATATGCAGTATATTTAGCTGAATAAATAGTTTGCCTGTTGATTTTTAAAAGCCCTGAGCTGGAGGTGCTGTGCCTTTCCAGTTGGTCGATGTAAACTGTCCTATTTTTTAAGGTGAAAGGGATTAAAAGGATGCTGTAAACCTGAGGGAATGCTGCGCCAAGTAAACAAGGTTCCACCAGGGAGGTTCAGCCTGGTTGTCTCTGATATAAGCCAACCTCTCTGCAATCAGAGACAATCCTGGGCTCTTTCTGCTCTGCTCCACTTTGGTGAATTGTTTGGATTTCGATGAGCTGCTTACATTAATAGTGTGTGGTTTTGGTAGCATTATGGAAGAATTTTAATGCGTATTTTTGCCATTTATTGTAATTGCATGTTTTCCTGTCTTTTTAATTGTTTGTTTTTGACCAGCAGAGTTATTTATTGACATTTTAAAAAAAAAAGATTTATTAAAAAGATAAGAAAAGGTAAACATAGCATATAGCATATAGTATATGCATTAAATGCTATTGATGGTATTTTTATGATATCATGCTCAGCCAGCTTTCTTACATAGGAAGGTTTATCATTTACCATCTCTCAAAGCGTAAGAAAAGGTTGATTTAAAACGTTAAAATCTTGATGTTTATAGGCGCATAGTCATGTTATATGCCAAAAAAAATACCCAAACCATTTAATCATCATAAAATAAGGCTGTATAAACCCAGTGTCCATCCTGGTTATGTTTGGACAGTCTATTTTAAGTCCAAATACAATCTTCTGCAGCAAGTGTGATCAGTATATTCCTGTTAGTACCAAATACAAACAGGGAAAAAGCATCATGGTGAGAAAAATGAGGATAAATCAGAGGCTAAAAGTTTTTCATTGGAAATTAAACTCATAAAACTGCCACTTGAAGGTAAGTGCATTTTTGATGAGACCAGAATTGAATCTGATCTTGAGTGCTCTTCAGGATCTAAGAGCTATGACAGAAAAAAGCCCTCTTTCTTTCTTTCTTCTTCTCTCTTTTTTCCTTCCCTCCTTCCTTTCTTCCTTTGCCAATATCGGTCTTGGAATAGATGTACCAGAGCTTGATGATAGCACAACAGATTTGCTTTCAAATGTAGACCATTGTGTCTGTTTCCATAAGGTTCCGGTTGGTACTTGTTTAAGAAACTTTAATGAAAATTATTTTTGGAGTAAAGTCATATATATAGAGAGAAAGAGATAGAGACAGAAAATACTGCTTGAAGTGAGAAAATAAACACAGAAGATTTACAGTTATTTCTACAAGTCTGCTTCCACACCTGTATGAGACAAGAGGGAAAGAAAACAGAGATCATAAAAACAGCAAAAAAAAGAAGATAACAGACAACCAAAGTAAACATAAAAAAAAGCTTAGAGAGACAAAATCTATGGTGTTTACACAATATTATTCAGGGAGCCATACCGGTATATCTTTACTTGGTTTTGCTCCCATTTTTTATGAGATGAATTCAAAGATCTAAAACTTTTTCCACATACACAATAAAACCATTTCCATCAAATATTATTTACAAACCAGTCTAAATCTGTGATAGCGATCACTTCTCCTTTGCTGAGATAATCCATCCCCCCTCACAGATGTGCCATATCAACATGCGGATTAGACACCAAGATTAGTGGGCAGGTGTTTTAGTCAAGTAAAAAGTTGTCCTCCAAGAAATTAATAAAGGAAAAGTAAAAAAGTATTTGTTAGAAATGCTACTTTAGTACTGAATAACTGTTGGATTCTAACATCAGATTTAATGTTTATAAGTGATGCTGACAAACAGACTTTATGTTTAAGTTCTGGCATTCTAAAGACTCCAATACCTTAAGAATATAAATAAATGTCACAAATATAAAAGAACAAATTCATGCAGAAGACATACTTTTACAAATTTTATCTTCTCAACATAAAACTTAGAAAAGCAATCCTTACTATGAACTGTATATATATGTTAGGACAGGGTAACAGACTTCCCCATTTTAATATCTACTGTTTTCTGTATGTTTGCCTGATTTTGGAATAGTTCAAATCACTCAGAGGACAGTCAGAGATTTTACTCAAGAAGCGATAGGAGAAGCGATATTTTACAAGAATATAACTCAAGTAAAAGTAAAAAGTACAGCACCGTAAAGCTACTCCTAGAAGCTTTTCTTTTTTAAATTGTTGCTCAAGTAAATGTAGCTAATTACTAGCCACCTCTGATTACTAGTATCAGTATAAATAAAGTACAACTATCCATCGTCTAAATGCCTGTACAGTTTTAACTCTTGCTTCAGTAAATACCAATATCTATATTGTATGCCGAGCGTTCTTAGAGTCTAATCCCCCTTGGAATAAAATATTTTTTGCTTTCTTATAATGGATCTTGGACTTTTTTGCTATTTGTTTGCATCTTTGCTAGGAGGTACAAACTTAATTAGCCCTATTACGTTTTGTTTACCCATTACACACATGTAATATTGTACCTCTTTTGGTGGTTTTATGGTAGATGTAAACAAAAGCACTTTGTTTACTAACAAACTGAGCAAGAAAAAAAAGTTCAAAATAAATAGAAAATAAACCACCAGCAGGACTAATAATTTTTTTTCCCTGTTTTTTTAAAAATACAACCAGCATAAACTACTGACATTTCAATTTAAATGTATACAATGAGACCATGCCCCTATAAGGAAAGAACAAAATTTAAAGCAGGACAAGATTTTTAATAAAATGATAAACTGTACAAATTTGCAGAATAGTTGAAAGTAGCCATAATGACTGAAAAGTCTGTCTTCATAAGAGTCATAGGAGAAAAAACAAAATGATGCAGTGTAGATGAACAGAATAACGCTATTATTAACACTATTAGGTAAAATGATTATGTTTGTTTGAGCAATTCCCATCTTGTCAATCAGGTAGATGTTACTCACACTGCAAAAACGATCTAGAAATAAGCAAAGACATCTTAAAATAACTGTATCTACCATTAATTTTAGTTAGTACATAAGAGGATTTGCCAATGGAATTAGTATTTTTACACCTAAAATAAGATAATTAGAAATAAGAGACTGCTATTTTCTAATTTTAAATGTAAACTGTCCTGTTTCATTGGCAAAGTGTATCACTTACCTGCTCAATTCAAGAAAAAAAGCACATATTTTAAGAAACAGTGACTTACTTAGAAGCTTTTGCAGTACAGTGACTGCCATTAGTGAAGAAAAACCCTGATATACTGAAGGCCACGTCTTTAACGCAGACAATAAACTGAATTCCCCAAGAGAAACCTCACTCTTCTCTTCATTGTGCCATTGGATGATTACTGAGCTTAAAGGTTAAAAATGCTCTGTAAAATGAGAATCAATGGGTGGAACAGAAAAGGGAGCACAGCAAAGGTCTGCATTTGCCACGTAAAGGCACAAAAGTGATCACAGGAGATTGAGGCTGTGAAAGCAGGTGAAGAAAATAAATCAATGGCTGGAATTGATCTTGTTAACTTGAGGCAGTGGTGCAAGACCAATTGCATAACACTGTGCCCACAAAGCTCTGTCAGACAGGAGGAGAGGGAGCGAAGGACGTGAGGAGGGAGCTTTATGGATGAGGAAGGGGGGGAAGATAAAATGGCAGCTATCTTAACTAAGGGAGGTTAAAATAGTTGTAGGAAGCATTTCATTGCATTAATAGAAAGGTCACAGAATGTAGAGAGAAAAATTCAAAATAAAATAGATTGGATGAAAAGCAATCATAAAAATAACATTGATCAAAAATAGATTTTTCTTTCTATAATGTGAAGGATGGCGGTTGCTTATAGATACTGAGGGAATTTCTTGTTTGTCTTGACAGAGATCCGGGAAGCATTTAAGGTGTTGGATCGTGATGGAAATGGGTTCATTTCCAAGCAGGAGCTTGGAATGGCCATGCGGTCTCTGGGGTACATGCCCAGTGAAGTGGAGCTGGCCATCATCATGCAAAGACTAGACATGGACGGTAAGTCATGGTGTAAAAAGACTTGTCCACGTATGGGAAACAGCTTGTCATTGTACAATTTTAACATTTACAATGCGTTTGTGACTTTTGTGTTTACCCGATGTTAAATTAAGATTTATTTTATTTACTTGGCTTGAATGTTGCACCTTCTTTACTTGTACAAGAATTCAGTTTTGTGCTTTTTTCCAAACCTTTAAAAACAAACGAAAAGCCAGAAACCTTTATTATTATGCATCATATCTTTAACCTTTTAACTAAACATCAGAAAGGATGCTATCTGCAGCAGATAACAAAATTGTTTTCCTGCAGACAGTATTTGTAGAGAGGAGGTGTTCAGACCAAAACAATTCAAGATAAAATGAGAGAAAGTAATCAAATATTTTAAATTGATATTAGATTTTTAGATTGTGTTTTCACTTTAGGAATGGAAAGGCTAAACTCTTTAGGACTCAGCATTAAAGTTAAAGACATTAGACTGCATAGATCTCCTCCTGTGACTCATCCGGATCAGATTCCTCTGAGACTCAGGGAGCTCTGAGCCCCGGAGGTTCAGTCTGGTTGTGTCTTCTCTCTGCAATATAAAGTCACAGCTTCAACTATTGAAGCGTTCCCGAGATGTGATGGTGTTTTGCTGTCCTGTTTTTAAGTATTTTTTTTTATTTATTTAAATATCTTAAACTACTTGTTCCCCTTGAAAAACATTTTTTCTGCAAAATTGTGTAAAATATAACAGTACAACCTTTCTGATCTGTTATAATTCATTTAGCATTCTCTAGAATCATTTTACCTTCCACATTTCTGACTTGATTTTATGCTGATATAACTTTTTCATATTTTTCTGAGGATGCAAGGGATGCAAATAATGTTTAGAGTGAAAGTTTATGAACATTTACTGTAACTGTCCAGTCTATATGAGTTTATTACAGAAGCTCAAGCTAATAATGAGTTAGAGGAGCTCAAACCATCCATCCATTTTCTGTCAAGCTTAACCCAAGCGGAGTCGCGAGGAGTGCTGGTGCCTATCTCCAGCTGTCAATGGGTGAGAGGCGGGGTACATCCTGGACAGGTCGCCACTCCATCGCAGGAGCTCACACCAATCAAATTCAAAAATACCTTATTGATCTGAAAGAGAAATTAAATGTTGTTGAAACTCCTTCTATTGTTTCTTTAATGAGTTGCTGTAGATGCTGATGGCCTGTCTTACAGCTGCTCTGGATGAAGAGTACTCTGATGGTCCAAAATCTTCTTAATTTTATTGAGAGTTCTTTTTAAAATGTTAATCATATAGTGCCAGTTCACAATACATGGTTTATTGCACTTTACTGAGGCAGATCAATCACATCCAGACTGACTGGTAAACAGTTTTCTTTCCAAGGAAACCCAGTTAAATGCCTTGAGTCATTGACCACAGCAAATCCCTCTCTCCAAGCATGCATGCAGCAACAGTGGAGAGGAAAACTCCCTTTTGACAGGAAGAAATGTTACAGCAGAACCAAGCTCAGTGTTAAAAAGCTGGCTTTGACCAGAGAAATGAAGAAGCCATTTCTCTGCTCTTATCATGAAGCTACTATAATCTAGATATGCTATATTATATATGGCTTCAACCTATTATTCCTATCGGTGCTGAGTCCTTTTGTGTCGACACCGTCATGATTACAAGAAAATATTTAAACATTTGGGACTTGTCAAAATGTATATGATTTATTTTCTATATTTTTTAGGGAAAATTATTACTTTTTTTCTACTCCAATGTAGACATTGGATAAATAAAATAAAAAAAAACTTACTTAAACATGACCTTTAGCCTTCCATTGTAGTCCAAACAATCAATATTATTGTATCATTTACGCAAAAAAGACTGTAAGAAAAAAAAAAAAGTATATATATATATATATATATATATAATTATTATTTTTTTTAAATATACTCAAAAGCATGAGAATAAATACATATTGCCAAGACTTTCTGCAATAACAGTGACACTCCGCCCCTTCCATCCCTGCAGCTTCTCACCAGCCCAAAACAAAGAGCTTTTGCTGCTGGGTGTTTCATAATGAAAGCATGTGGAGCACATCTGGTTAAAAAAAAGAAAAAAAAAGATGCACCTTAAATATTTATAATTGAAGGAATACTGCTACCAAATAGTGAAGTAACAAAACAACAAGTATGCCTACCTACATTACTCCATTTAGTTTCGAAGGCTTTGGTGAATAATGTGGCTACTAATAACACAAGTTATACTTTAATCAGACTGAAACCTATTATTTGAGTTATTTACTTGAAGAAATAGAATGAAAAATTGTCAGAAAAAATTTGAAACTGTATTGAACAGCTGCTGAGGTATCCATGGTGTTGTGGGTTCAAGGCTTTAAAGGCTTGAATCTGAATTGTTGTGGTGTAAAAACTTTGCCAAGTCTCATAATTATGACTTGTTGTTGGCACCTCTGAATAAGGGAGAGGAAACAAACAATACTGGGCAGCTTAAGAATAAAATTCCAACCACCGGATCCTTGTTTAAACTGTAAAAAGTACATTTTGTATATCAGATATTTATTTTGCAAAAAAGAAATTTTTATATTAAAATCCCCATGTCATCAATATGTACATTTTATTCATACCAATATAAGATTGACAAGCAAATTGATGAACAAAGTGGAAAACTAAACATAAGCTGTGATAATGAAATTATATTATTGCAGGAATGAATAAAATGTATATACTTACAGTACATAGAGGATTTGAATACTAATACTTTGTAACACAGTTTTGCCAAACAGGAAACTGATGATTTGGAATGTACTGAGGTCTCAGTTACTTCTTACAGTCTCTGCTTTAACCAGGAAGTAAGATATAAAAAGTCATATAATACTGTGATTAATCATACTTTCTTTCTTAACAGGAAATGACCTGTTCCTCTAAAGATTGTTTCTGTGTTAAAAAGAATAGTATTGAGTAAATGGCTGTAGCAATGATCATTTTTGATTTATTTGTTTTTTGATTAATCAGAAAAAAAAATACAGATCAGTAAATAGGTCTTCAGTTAAATTAAATTATTCTTAAGATTAAAAAAAAACATTTGAGCAATGTGTCAACCATATTACCTTCTGAATTCCTGCTATTTAATCCAAATGCATGCATAGTTCTTTTCTTTTCATTTCATTTCATACATTATTATCCTTCATTATTTATAAAGCTAATAAAAAGTAGAGTACATTTTAAATTTATGAAACTAATTTTGAGGTCTAAGTTCCTGCTGTCTTTCAGCAGAGTTCGGAAAAAGTTCGCTTGCAGTTTTTTTTAATTTAAGGCTCAGTTTTTCAATTATAATTAGGAAGTGATCAAATAAAGGCTGCATTACAGAGTAGATGGATTTTAGCAGATGACTGGAATTGGATGTTGACCAGATGAGGAGCAGTGAACATTTGACCCTGATTATTCCAGCATATATTGATGGTTATTAGTTGTGCCAAGTCGCATGAGCTCATTATGACCTTCATGACAACATGCACGCTCTGTGTTTCTTTTATTGGATTTTCAGAGCTGCCTCATTGTACCTCCTGGCCTCTTTTTAAAGCGAATCTGAGTGACCGTAATAATATGATCACAATTTCACATCAGTAATAATTCATTTGTTCTGTTTCTGGAACATATGCTGGAAAAAAGTCGAAAGCGGGTGGCTTTGACTGTGACGGATACAGAAAGTGACTCAGTTACTTTGTGTCGAACGTTGAGCTGTCACAAACTGTGCCTACAAAATGAAAGCAAACATGCTTCCATGATTTTCACAAAGAAAAGAAATCAAAAAGGTTTGAACTGATTTCACAGCACTGGTTCGTTCTGTTCAGTGTTTGTGATTCTTTTCAAAACTTTTCTTTTCTTTTAAACAACTATAGCCATTTTTTTTATTCTCTATTCATATAATAACAGTAAGATGCTGTGCTGTGGCTAATACCTGCATGTAGGGATTATATCTGAGCATTCATATGGCCAGGAAGAGAGCTATTTTAGTCATTATTATATTATTCATATCAGAAGAACTCAGACTAACGTCACCCACTGGTGTTGGGAGTACAATCCTATCTCAGGGATCAGATCAGAGTTAAACAAACATGGCGATCTTTCAGCTGCATTTCGTTATACTGTCCTAGGGAAAGTATTTGGACCCAACATCATATTTATTTATTTTTACATTTGATCAAATTACAGCTACAGATTCAGGGAATTTTCTTATGGATTTGACCAGATAGAGTGACACATATTTAGGTCCCTGCTTGGTCAATTCTAATGAAGATCTGAGCTCTGTGTGCTGATTCAGCCCAGTTTCTAACAGGTTTTCTTCAATGTTTGTTCTGATTTATACATCTTTCTTCCTCACAACTTTGGCCAATTCCTCAGTTCTGGTAAATAAAAGTACCCGCTGTATAGTACGGCCAGTTTGATGTAAAACTCTGGTTTTCACAATGCATAGCATTTTATATGTGAGCGAAAAGTGTTGGTTTGAGTCGCTTGAACCACGTACATTCCCCATTGTACGTGGTTCAAGCGACTCAAACCAACATAGGGTGAATGATACATTTACACACTGTCTTTTCAGCTCTTCCATTAGCCTTTCTACTTCTCTGACAAATGCTCTCCTCAACAATACGTATTTTAAATGGACATGCTTTACTTGGTAGGTGGATATGATGATGGATAGAGCAGTCCAACGCGAAATATAAATATAAAATAATATGTCCCCCAGATAAAAATATCTGGGGGACAGTGATTCGCCTAAATGTTAAGAATGCTGGCATAACATAAAGAATAAAGAATAAATTATGAACAGTTTAGTTGTGCCTTCAATTCGTTGCCCATAGGAAAACGTTACTTGGATATAACCTAAAGGAATATCTTCAGAACGGCTCCAAATGACACAAAACTCATATGGGTGAGTAGAACATGATGTAATAACATAAAATCAAGGGCCCAATGTAAAAAAAGGCATTCCCCTTTAAACCTAACCCTCCCTTTAAACTAATCCTCACCCTGACCTGTCTTCTGTGCTTTTTGTCTTAAAGTTTCTGATTATTTTCTTTTCTTCAACCTGGTGCATTTCATACAGTTCAGGGTAAACTTCAAAGACTGTTGGTTTCTTGTATCCTGCTTCTTTTGTATTCAAAGCTGAAGCACATCTTTTCTTATATTTATGCCACTCACCAAGTCTACCTTCTGTCATCCTCCTCCTATTTGACCTTTTGACCTGTGTTTTTCCTGCTGTTTATGTATGAAGTAGAGTCATAATTTACGAGCTAACCTTGAAAATCAGCACAGATGTGCTGTAAACTGCAAGTTGTTTTATCAACACCTTGATTTTGACAGAGAACCCCATCTCATTGAAATATGATTAAAAAGGAAATCTAAAGGAGCAATGAAAAAAGGCTGACACAATTATAATTAAAATTTAGTTTTACTTAATAATAATTTAGTATCAGCAGTCAAGCTTCCTCGGCTTTTAGGACACATTATCCGAACAGTCACAAGATCAGAAATAAAGTCTTAAAATGTACATTGAATTAGCTGTTTTGGAAGCTGAAAGTGTTTTTTCATTGTAAAGTAAAATATGCAAAGCAGAGGTGCTGCATTTGGGACTCCCATTAGTTTTCCTCCATTTCTAGGCCTGTACTCCGTCCTGTGTGGTCATTTCTGACCAGTGAGAGCAATGATCGTCCAAATTGTAGGCTTTGTTTTGAGTTATCATTGACTTGCAAAGGGTTAAATTTGAAAACAAATTGCAAACCTAACAAAAAAAAATAAAGCCCGCTGTTGGTCCGAACCAAACAAGCAACGGACTTCGGTGGTCTGGCTAAACCGTAAGTTTAGAGCACATTAAAAAAAAAGTGGATTAACCCCTAAACTTTTCACCCCCTCATAAAAGACAAATAATGAATGAAAGAGAATGTGTATAAACCATGGCAAAGCATAATCTAACATTAAAGCAAGTAATCTAACATAAAGCAAGTTACAAGCTTATTGACAGTGATATTTTCATAGAGTCAATGTTTTCATTCAGAGCTTAAAAGCAAGAGAAGACTGATTTATACAAAGACATGTTTAATGTTTTAATGTCTGTTAATGTCTGTTTAATGTTTTAATGTCTGTATAACAGTAGCAGATACTTTTTGTGGCAGGGTACCTGCCACAAAAAGATCTGGAGACCGTAATCCATGCTTTTATCAATACAAGATTGAATTACTGCAACTCTTTATATGCTGGCCTGGACCACTCACTTTTACACCGTCTGCAGTTGGTACAAAAGTCTCCTTACTGGCACATGTAAACGTGACCACATATCACCAGTTCTAGCCTCACTGCACTGGCTCCCAGTTGTTTTTAGGATAGATTTTAAAATTTTATTGTTTGTTTTTAAAGCTCTTAATGGTCTGGCCCCCCAGTATTTGACTGAGCTTCTCCAAATTCATTCCCCGGCCAGAACACTGAGATCCTCTAATCAGCTGCTACTGGCGATGCCTAAAACCAGACTTAAAACTAAAGGTGATTGTGCCTTTATGGCAGCGGCACAGAGACTCTGGAATAACTTGCCTTGGCATGTTAGCTCAGCAGGCTCCTTTGAGGTTTTCAAATCCTCTTTAAAATCACATTTCTTCTCCCTGGCTTTTAATCATGTCTAAGTGGACATTTGGCAAAATTTTATTTTAAATTTTATTTTAAATTTTATTTTATTCTAAAATGTATTTTAAATGAAACATTTATCTTATTCTATTTTTATGTGTTTATGTATTTTAGCCTTTAGCTTTTATCTTATGTTCCTTAACTGTGATTGCTGTACAGCACTTTGGTCAACCCCGGTTGTTTTAAATGTGCTTTAGAAATAAAGTTTGAGTTGAGTTGAGTTGAGATAAAGTAAAAACAAACCGCAGAGAGCTGACTACATTTAGGCAGTGTCAATGATATATATAGCCTTGATTCAGAAATCTGTACATTATCAGCATTTAGACAAGTGTTAGCTGCCTGGTCTGAAAAAGGTAGAAGCTTTGACTTTGAGATGATTGACAAGCGTGCTAATCATGCAGAAATGCTTGGAATCACAATCAAACTGAAAACAGCTTCATTCTATTCAGTATGAAGTAATTTGCATATTTTTTCAGCAATACTATTGCAGTACAGTCATTGCCTTTACAGTGCGGGTAAATGAAAAAAAGCAACACCTATTGAATGTTGTTAAACATTCAAGCTGTTAGACAGGCTGCGGACTGCAGCTAAGATGCTCTTTGAATTTTGGTAGATGATTTTATTTTGTAACAGTACGAGTAAAAGTGTTTAGCTATGGTTGTATTTTTTTTTCCCACCGGCACTACTACATTTTTAACAGTAGTGGCAGCAGCACATCTGTGAGATGAAGTGGTACCAGTTAAATATCTTGGAGGCAGATTTGTAGTTTAACCTCTATTTGTTCCAGAAAAAGTCATAAATCCTTCAGCAGTGACAGGAAAACCATTACGAGAACGTGTGGAAAGTCTGCACCATATTATTTGCACATCAGTGAAGTTATGATTATGTAGTTCATTCGGTAAAGTTGATATGTTGTTTAGTTTTTTGGTTTTTTCACTTATGTGTTTTTTTAAATCATTTTGTTTATTTCATATTTTTATCAATCTTTAACCCATATTTTGATTAAATGAACAGTAGATCCATATAAAGGGGTTCCATTCGTCATATCCCAGCGTTCTCCAAGTTATTTACATACGGTTTCTGACTCCACTCGTCTGAATATGCCTAAATCCATGTTTATCTTTATATATATACACACATATATATATATATATATAAAACTTTGAAAGGACAATGTGATCATAATGGGAAGTTGGAAGTTGTCTCTTTTTTATTTCCTTTTTATCAACATTAAAATAATAACAAACTCATAGTTAACATTTGTGTAACTTTAGTAATCATTATTATTTTATCTTAAAGCACTATAAACAATTTTTGCTTTCCTATTTAACAAAATGTTTTATTAGCTTTACATTTTTTTTTTTACTTGAGACACTATGAAACTGAGATCAATATGTTTTTTTCTTAATTTTGAAAACACCAAATACTGTATTCTTGTTTTGTTTTGCCCGCTATCAGTTTGATTATAGCTTACAGCAGATTTATTAAATGGTTATTAACCTAATCTACTTTTGTCTTAGGATTATATTATAGTTATTCAAATAACCTATTATTCCAGGTAAGAGTTCTGAGTAACTTTTACTGAAAAGGAGACTTTTTGGTAAAAACTTACTAAACTGACCTGAATTGATGCCAAAGAGACGCTGCTCAGGCAGAGTGTTCTTATATGGTTGGTTAGAGCTGTGCGTCCTGCACAGCATTTCAGATATACTGTGACACTGTGACCACCTCCATTTACAACTCAAAGGTGTAACAGCTGTGCATCATCCTCAAGTATCTGACCATTTCACACATCACTAGACACAATGATGGAAAACCAGATGTATTCCTCATGAGGAAGGGAATTAAACCTTTACTCTACCAAAACATGATCATCAGCCACATCACTGGATTATTAGTTTCAACTTCATACAGATGCTTGATGCTGTTTTTGTTTCAGAAACCAGTCCCTGCCTTATATAAGTTGAAGTGATTCATATCCTCCTAATCCAGTGAAAGTGAGCAGCTTTTTATCTCATCTCTATTAAGGTTTTTTTTTTAATGTTGGGGTTTCAGGGATTCACTGATGACTTTATTAATTTTCAGGACTTATGGGTTTCCAACATTTATAAACAAGACGTTGATCTCATCACCATTTCCCCTTCTTCTCCTGTTCCAGGTGATGGACAGGTTGATTTTGAGGAATTCATGACGATTCTTGGTCCAAAGCTCCTGTCATCTGAAACGAGGGAAGGTTTCCTGGGGAACACAATAGATACCATCTTCTGGCAGGTAAATGTCCTATTTGAAAATTTTTTTTTTTGGCTTTGGTTATGATTTAATCAGTTTGTTCATCTCTGAAGGGTTGGATGTATTGACACATTTGAAATATAAGAAAAAATTGATCTGAAGATGATGATAAAGAGGATTATTTTGTTGGATTCGAAGACAGAATTTGCAGCTTCAAATAAATAGAAGCAACGACCATAAAATCTTTTCTTTCTCTCATAGTGGCATAATGTGTGAAACTATCTTGGAGAACATAAAATTAATCATTCAGAAATCAGGGAAGGAGCAGGCAGAATTAGAAGAAATTAAACATGTTTTCGTGGAAAGCTCATAAGTTTTGACAACAATGATGCTTCTAATGAAATCCTCTTCTGAACAAAAAACCTCCTATGGAGGAGGGGTAAGTCTTTCTTCTATAACTACATCAGCAGTTTCACCGGGTTCACTCTTTTACTCCAACAAACAGATGCATTTTGCCTTGTCTGATAAATGTATGCCTTAGAGCCCTCAAGGACTTCGCTCAAGTCTAAAGCAAATTTAGATTGGGGGAAATGAACTACATTGCATGATTCATCATTATTATAGATATAATTAAATCACAAATGATAACTTTCATGATATGTTGAAGATTAGGTTTCTGTTTGTATTTTAGCCGCTGAATCTTAAAACAATACTATTGTGATGTGCAACATCTTTAGGTGCTTGTTTTCTTGCTTGTTTAAAGCTAGCAGTGCTTTGCTAAATGATTTATACCTCTTGAACTTCCCTGCACTTCATCGTCTGTTGCTATCAAGTATTGCATACTTGTGAAATGGAGGGAAAATCGTTTACAAACCTTTTTACAATACAATTTTGTGTTGGGATTTTTTTATTTATTCCCTGTTTCTCTTATGACCTTCAATAAAATCCCAAATAAACAACTGAATTCAGAGGACAGTATAAATCCTGCTGGTCCTTGAAGACTTCAGGCTAGAGAGGATAAAGCATCATGAAAACCTAGAGCTCTGCAGACAGGTCAGGGAAGATTTGGAGACGTTTAAAGCAGAGCTTGGTTACAAATCAAAATGTAAACCTTTGAACATTTCAGAGTCTGCAATGGTTATTCTATGCATTCTTCAAATCTGTTATTATTCTAATCTTTTATTTCCTGGTTTTGTCCTAGTTTACCTTTTGTGTTTTTTTTTCTTTTCCAAGTTCAGATCAAAGCTTTTTCATTAATTATCACTATCTTGTTAGAGTCCAGACATAAATCCAACTCAGATACTAAGACTTGAATATTGATGTCCATAGACCTTTTCTATCCAAGCTGATTTTCAGACGTGTGTGATTTCAGCTGCAAGGCATCTATTTATATTTTAAGGCCCCCTAAGGAATTATGAATTCAATGGGCAAATAATCCTGACATCTAAAATCCATCTATCCATCCATTTTCTGACACGCTTTACCCCAAACGGGATCGCGAGAAATCTAAAATCAAAAACAGCTAAAACTTAAAAACAGCAGTTGTGTTTTGTATAGATATTATGCCAAATTAGTATTGTATCATATGCAGAGTTTGAGTATTGATACTCTTCCGGGTGTCAATATTTCTGACAACCCTATTACTCATAGCCTGCACTCTCTCTGTGACTGTTGCATCTGCAGATGCAAACAACTAAAGAAAGATTACTATACTCAAATTTCTTACACTGATGTCACAAATTAATTTGCAACCGGAAAGCTAGAAAGCAATATAAGGTAAAATGTTTAGCAGAAAGGCAAATAATTTTTTGAATAGAGCCTTTATGTTTGACAATATTGAAATACAGTGTATTTACAGAGCTTTAACAACTAATTACTAAACTTTAAATTTTGTTTTTTAAAGAAAACCTGTGCAAGTTTTGACCCAACTATTAGCTTAAATTCTGATATATGAAAGGATTTTTAGTTTAGGTCAATATACTGTACAGAACCTGGTGCATATTAACTCAACTATCAATAAAAAGGCCATAGAATAAATCTTAAAATTTACAATAAACATTGCTTAAAGGTAAATGAATAATTATGCCCAAAACCAATCATTTAGAGCACAAAATAACATTTATTTAGCAGAGTTTTCAATAGGCTTGTTAAAAATCAAGCACTATTCCAGTGAAAGTCCCCATGTAAGAGCTGTTTTGATTTTTCAGCATGATTTCAATACAACAACAATATAATGTTGTAGTAAGTTCTTTAAAATCTAATTTCAATGTGTGCATGGAGAGAATATGTGTGTGCAGTCTCATTCATCTTCATCACAACAATCACAATTGCCACTCAGGTCTGTCCTACATGCAAGTAGAACTGTGAGATCTCTGGAAAAAAATATCCCGCCTGCAGTTCTATACGCTCCTTCTGGATTTTCAAATGTCCTTATAACACAAAAGAAGTAAATGAATGGCAAAATAATAGAGCAGAACAAAATCTCAGAATGTTGGTGCTAAATTGCAGTGTTCTAAAGTGCAGTACAGTGGTTTAAAGAATATGATTGACTTGTGAACTCCCTGTGATAGCTATCAAGAATTGAATAGAAAAGGTATAAAGATCTAAGCCTTTCTATTCAGCCAGCAGGGACAGGAGTATGCAAACCATTCAAAATACCTTACCTGTGGCTGGTTGCTGCTTTAGGACCCAAGCTTTAACATGAACCAATATTTTGAAAACTTTACAGCATCTTGATAATGAAAAAAACATCTTCTCAATGATTGTACAATACAGTGTTGACTTTTTCATATACTTTCAGCTGGACTGTGTTTGCATTTGATGCTTTAGCCAAGGCTCTGACAAAGGCTTGGCACGTGCAGTCAAAAGTGGTGCTTTAGAGTTCAAGGTATCAGTGCAGAGGGAAAGGGAAGTTCACTGATGCACTTTGAATCTCAGTATCAATAGATAAAATGATTTCCTATATTAAACAAGCATATATTCTGTATCTGCAACTTTAATCTCTATCTGTATATTTCTTCCTATGATAAATTGAGTCTATGAGGTTGCTCTTAAATTCAAAAACTTAATTCTTGAATTTCTGCCTGGATACATTAAATCAAAGTTATTCTCTTCACTTCTACTGCCTCACTGTGTCTCAAAAAGGTTATGGACTGAAATTAGGAAGCAGTCTATACAATATGTTTATCCATCTAACAGTAATCAGTTATAGAGTGTATCCTGAAGCTAGTCACTCTGAAGACTTAAACAGAATTTAAGGGATTTCTAAAAGAGGAAAAAAAAACGCTTTAGTTCCTTATGAAACTTATCTTTTTGTGTGAAATTAACATAAGTTCAATTAAGTAAAAAAAAAAAAAAGAAATATATACAGCCAGGAAACACTAAGTCGATGAGGCTATGAAATATATACCATAAATGCCTTTGGGTTACTACATGTAATATTCTGTATTGGTGCACAGAGTCATGAAAAGATCTGAACACTCAGTGACAATCTGTGCTTTTCTTTATTTTTAAATATGGAAATTTAATTATGAATTTTGAAATTTGGGGAATATTAATAAGTAATGAATGGACAGAAATGTCAAGCCCAAGCGAGTACTAAGGACCTGCTCGGAATGTCTGGTGAAGCCCTCATTCAGGGACATATTCATTTCCCACCTCTGGAGGGAGAATTTCCCAAATCCTGGAAGAAGTGGGGGAAATGTAAGCCCCATTTACACTACCTTATTGAGACTGTGCCAAGATCGGTCTGAGCATGGAAACTGAGTTAACTGTTGAGTGTAAATGGCATGCACAACTGAACCGGTCCGCACCAGACACAACCGAACTGTGCTAAACTGGTATTAGTTCACCAGTAGGGCTCAGAGCGGTTCAGTTCTGGCTGGGTTCTCAGATAACAAAGAGAGCATCAGCAGACTGCGTCATCTCTTTACAGTCAGCCCCTTTAATCATGAAATTTCAGACATTCATAAAAATACTAGCTTCCCTACCGTGCTGCATTATTTCCAGTGATGATTCTGCTTAGCAGCGTAATGAGTCTCAACATCTGTTGTTGTTTCCTTCATCTGTAAGCCCTGACTAGACTGTTGTTTGTCGTATCCACTTCCCAAAAGCCGACTCTGACAAGTCAATTAACCAAAGGCTGCCTTCTTCACCTGATTCTCCACTAACTTCCTCAATGTTATATGCGCTGCCATGTTGATTTGTTTGTTTACCTCTAGAGAGCAGTAGTACCGTAGATCATCACTAGGAGGAGAGGAAACGTGCTAGGTTAGTGTGTAAATGGTCGTAAGGAACCGAGCTTGGCGTGGTTAACTGATCCAAGCTCGGCACGGATTGGTTTTTACAGGGTAGTGTAAATGGGGATGTAGTGCGAGGACATGTTCATTGCCTCTATTGTTGATGCGGCAGCTTTTAAGCTGCGGTTGTATTTATTGTTAGGCCAAACTTGCTGCTGCATAGGTGGTCAACATGGAAAAACTTGGGTGTAAGAGGAATTTGGTCTGAGACCATTGAGAGAAAAATGCATTAAGCCTCTGTAGAGAATCAGTGAGGCTCAAAGTGAATTTGGCAAACTGTCTGGGAAGAGGGGGAAGCAGTGTTTTTAAAAAATGTCTTTAGCCGCAGTGGGGAGCTGCTGTCCCTAAATAAGGAAAATGTGGAATGAATACTTTGAGGATCTCCTCAAGCCAGGTGACACACATTGTCTGGTCTCTGTACAAGTTGAGCAGGAGTTTGTTCCGCATTGATGTTCCCGATGCATGTTGGACTCCATACAGGCCCCCTGTCCACAGTCCTCTCCATAACCTTTATGGACAGGATTTCTGGGCACAGTCAAGGAAGAGATGTGTGGTTTAGGAAGCAGCAGATTTTGTCCCTGCATTTTGCAGATGACATGGTTCTGCTGGATACCTCCTCCCAAGACCTATAACACTGCACTGGAGCAGTTTACAGCAAATTGTAAAGTGGTCTTGATGAGGATTAGCTCCTCCAAATCCAAGGCTATTATTCTTGACCAGAAAAAGGCGGCGTCTTCCATTCAG